GGAGACAGGATCCCCTTGTCGACAACCCCTTTGTATATCAAACAGATTTGACAGTATACAATTTTGGCTTATTGCAGAGTAGGTATGTTTTTTATCCATTTTTAACGCTTTCACCAAAATTTAAAAAAATCAACTACTTTGTATAAAAAATTCCATGAGACTGAATCAAAGGCTTTTTCGAAATCTATAAATATTAAAAGTCCTGGTTTGTTGTTTATTTCAGTAAAATTCATAATATCGTAAATAGGTTTTCCCCAATATATCTTAAAAAACCTGTTTGTGTGTCTGAAATAATAAAATCAAGGACCGTTTTTAGTCTGTTGGCTATACAAGCTGAAGCAAGATTATATATAACATTTAATAAAGTAATCGGCCTCCAATTTTAAATAAAATGTCTAACTGCATCTCCTTTGGAAATACAGGTGATAATACCCTGTCTTTGTGTAATTGATAGCTCCCTCTTATTATACCCAAAATTCAATGGTCTGATAATAAAATATTTTAAATTATTCCAAATCAAATTACTAGTAAAACCATCAGAACCGGGTGATTAACAGTTTTTCATATTTTTTAATGCAAAGAGTAATTCTGTTTCGGATAAATCGCCTTCTAAATTGATACGTTGATTGTCTGTTAGTTTTACATATTCTAAACCATCTAAAAGGCTGTCTTAATTAACATCTTCAATATTATCCGAATGATCAGCATATACTTGTTTGTAAAAGTTTTGTATTTCCCGAAGAATTTCATCTTGACTAGTTATGATTTCCCCATTTTCTTTTTCAACTTTAACAATAGTTTTATTAACATAATTGTGTGTTTCTAAGTTGCAAAAATATTTTGATGGTTTTTCCCCTTCTTCCAGCCAAGTTACTTTTGATGTTATCATATGCCCTTTCTAATATTCTCTAGCTCGTTTGTTTTCTGTTCGTATTCATCTAAATTGGTAGCCCATGTATTATTTTCTTCTAGTTTTCCTAGATCAGATATTAGTACTTTTTCCCTTTTGTCCCGTTCTTTTTTTAATTTTTATAAATGATGAATACGACATAAATGTTAATTTCCATTAATAATGTTTAAAAAAAGTTGTTCATCTATTCATAATATTAGTTCTTCATCAGTAATATTAGAAATATCATTATCGTAAATTGGTGATGAATATTGCTGTTTGATCTTATATATGGTATCTTGAATATTTTGCACATTTTCTTGATCATATAAAAGACTGTTATTAAATTTCCATAGGCCCCTCCCTTTCACAAAGTTATTTAATTTAATTTCTAGTGATATTATAGAATGGTCTGATCTGTAACCAACAATAATATTAACCTTCTCAATATAGTTTAAAATATTTTCTGAGGTGAGGAAGAAAAGTCCAATCTAGCTTGTTTTATAGGGGTTTTCTTCCGCCATGTATATCTTTTACAAGTAGGATGAAACATTCTAAATGGGTTAATTAAATTTGCTTCCTCAATTAGTTTAAGAAGTCTTGTACGGGCATTTTGGTTCTTTATATTTACATAATTGTTTGTTTCTTTTTTCTGATCTAAAACCAAATTGAAGTCACCGCAAACTATGCAACAAGGATTGTTAAAATTAATAATCTGCTTATATATTTTTTCATAAAAATCTGGATCATCTTTATTGGGACCATATACATTAATTAATGAAAATCTATCTTTTTCAATGCTTATATCAAGGGCTATTACATTTCCTTCTGTGTCTTTCCATTTACTGTGAATCTCAAATTCAAAATTATTATTAAAAAATATGCAAACTCCCCTTGAATTGTTTCTGTAAGAGCTTAAAAAGCATTTATATCCCCATTGTAACGCTATTTCCCTTTCCTGTTCTATTGTAAAATGTGTGTCTTGAAGACATATAATATTTTAATCTTTATAATACTTTTTTAAATAATTAAATATATCATTTCTTTTCTCCTTCTGCCCTAAGCCTCTACGGTTTGTAAATGCTATTTTAATGTTATTTGACATTACCATAAAAAATATCTACTATTATTGGTTCTCTCAGAAGCTGAGTAGATTTCAGTTGAAAAAATGAGTTTAAAAAACAAAATGAAATGCCATTAAAAAATGGGTAGTTAAACTGCAAATCTCGGGTACAATGCATACACATTCACTTCCATTTCTATCAGCTAGACACATATACATCACATACTCTACACATATTCTTACACTAAACACTGTTGATAAACAAACAAAAAGAATTAACATCAATACGTTAATACTATACATGAACAAAGGCAAAGTAATTGACTGTACATTTCCGCAAGACTGTATCTATCTCACAACTCCTTCGTCACATGCCTGAATTATATGATGTAAAAGACACAGGAGATCGATTCCATATGTGATAAAAAAAAAGCGCCTGAAGACCGTGCTATATTACAACTAATGTTATCTGTATTATTGTTAATATATCAATAAATGTGATTTTTCAAATGCTGTAATGTATTCTCTTTTGAACAATATCGAATATCATGTAACTTACAGTATTGAAGTGAGCTGCTGTGACCATAACACGTGTATCGCATAACAATACTGAATTTGTATTAAATTAAAGAACGTTTGGTATTTCACCTGAGGTAAAATGTGCATACATACATATCTATCAGGATGAAGTAGAGGTTTTCCTTCGTGTTTATGTCCAGTAAAGCTGCAGAACAGTTAGTTCGTTTTGAGATTATTTGTACTTTAAGTTAATGTAATGTATATCATCGGCCACAGAGCCTATTAAAACAGAACGATTCCACGACATAGCATGAGGTCACTAAACAACAAAACCCTGTATCTACCATTAAATAATACGGGTCTACAGGGTCACTTGTAAGTATATCTTCAAATATGAATATTTACATTTGCTCTGCATCCTTCAGTTGCAATGCATTGAGAAGGCAAATGCTGTAATGAGACTATAACAACATTTGCTATTGAAATGTCACCAATCTCTATTAAATAACTAAATAAAGCGTAACTACTCTATCAAATTTTTTAATTTAAATAATGAATATTTTAGCAAAAATTTTTATGATCCTATAACACACAAACATAAAGCCCTGCTGGGCTTTATAAAGTGTATCATTAAATGCAATGGGTGTCATAGGACCATAACAACATTTGCTAAAACAATCATTACTTAGATATGAAATACTATCGATTTCCTGATTATGGCCTATCCAATATGTCCAGCTGGATGATGCAAAGCTACGAGTTCATGACGGGTACGAAGTATCGAGAGAGTCCGAGAAACTCATACTATCAATACGAATGTAATTTAGATACTGATACATTCGGGGGAAGAATACGCAAGAATGGATAAAACAAGGGCATGCTGAGTTAGATTCACTTGCCGAGTGGGTAACCTCTATTTAGCATTGATGCCGACTGATGATGGCCAAACACAGGGTTTCTAACAAAAACACGTGGATGAAGACTATGGATACGTTTTATGGCAGCCATCATTATCTCAAAGGGCAATGTGTCATTTCTTTGTGTGCATTATGAAGGTGGATGTTTTTATAATGCTTATCAGTGTACCTTGTTTTGTTGTCACTATATTCAAGCTTTCGATATGAGGACGAGACGTTTCATTGACTTGACCTAGATTGATATCATCGTCGATGAAGCAGAAGATGCTAACCCTTCTGGAACACGTGTTCTTATTATCCTTGTAATATTTTCAAGAACCTATGTGTAAATATTTCCATTGTCCTGGGTTTTTTCGATGTTGAGTTAGAATTATGGTTTTGTTGTCACCTCGATATTTACTGTTGTTTTTGTTTTAAATAGGATCCGAATGGAGAGCCTCTAGCCCAAAGGAGTTCAGTTCTGTTGCTGAAGCTCTGTCAGGTTATTCCGTCCGGAGAACCACCCTTTACGTTGATAGTTAACCGTATATTGAGTTTCCTCATCACGATACCGGCCAAATTGGCTATATAAAATGTCTTCATGTTCGGCAACAGCAGGAACACATTCTGAATAAGCATTTAATTACTGTATAGTTATTTAATTTCCCGGGCTAATATTTCGCGTATTTGTTCCGATCATAAGGAGTTCGCGGGGATTTAAATTTCGGGCAACATTGTCAAGTAAAAACACAGAGCTCAAGAAAGTAGTTACGTATTTTGCTAATGCGATTTATTTTACAAGTGGGTTTTTCAAAGTAATGTAAAATACGATATTGAATTAGTGCATTATCTCCATTATTTGGCAGTAAAGCGGTAAACAGTTGTTTTCTTTTATCACTGTATATTCATGGCTTGAGGGGTTAGAAATCGCTTGCTTTATGACACTGCATGACCGTAGGATGCTATCTATGTTCGAGGCAAAATCAATGAATTTCTTCTTTGTTTTCCTTTTGATGGAACACATGAACCCACATTTTAATTCCTGCTCCCATGGTGACGTTTCATTCCTCTTTTTCTCTCCTCTTTCTTCATGTTCATTTAGGCTCTCTCTTCCTCGGCACTGTTTTTTTTTAGCTAATTCCTAATAATTTTTACGGGGTGGTATGGTGTACAGTTTAGTTATGAAACTTGTGAAAACAAAAATTAGTACCCCTATTTCCTTAACATAAGATATATTTTCAATCGCTAGTGTTGTTCATGTATCCAGCAATCAACTTTCCCAGCACTAATTTTGATAATTAAGGGGTTTTACGAACCTTAATTTGTGTTTCAAGATGTAGTTTGTACCAATTTGTATTTCCATCGTTTGGGCCCCTAGCACCACCGTTGGGTCATGGAAGGACAAACAACTGAATGGTGAAGTGTAATTCATTTTTGCAGACTGTATCTATTATCAAATCTTAAAGGTGCGATCGCCTGTGCGAGTTTTCGTTCATTGTTCCAGCAGATGGACTTCCTCTCGGCACATGATTAAGGTTTTCAGGATACAATGGTATAACAATACGCCGCTGGGACTGTGTGCAATGCCCGGTAACAGTTAAATATCATTTTTCCCCCTCTCGTAATAAAAGCAATTGAGCAAAAACATGCATTTAAAATTTATTTTCCCAACAACATTCAACAGTAATATATTCAACAGACCAGACAGCAATCGTGTTGAAATTCTACTGCACAAAGCTCTATTTTGCTTTGTGGTCCTGACTGGCTGACAGAATTTAGCAAAAAAGCAATTGAAATTCTCAAAATAAAATAATAGCCTACTACAGCTAATGCAATTGTTATAGATGTGTACAGGAACGAAAATTGCATTGAGATATACGCACGATAATTTAAACTTTCAAATTATTCGTATAGAGATAAAAGTGATTTTTCGTGTATAGAATCACTGTGTTAGCGATGGCAGGTAAACACTAAATTATATTTTAACAAAATGCATAATGGAACTACAGGAAAGAAAACCTCTGTACAATACCAGCAAAGCAGTATCAACATTGAGCATGCGTTATAAGATTGTCCACTTCCGTTCATCTGTAAGCATGGGATGAACTGTTGGTTGTTTATCACGGTAACCGGTTTCTAAAGTATCTGTTTCCTTTTTTGTTTATGTGTGGCGTATTTCCGATTTTTCCTCAATCATCCGAGTAGTGAGCTGAGCATTCGTCCCAATGTTGACCTCCGGCGGCCGTCATAGAAAGCGACATTCTGGGCAAAACATCGGGCAGCCATTGAATCGCACATACACGACCGTCTTTTACACAAGTCCAAGTCCACTGAGAATGAAAAATAAACATAAATGTTTATTTAATATCAAGGAATGTTCATCCACACTTTAAAACTGACAAATGGCATTCAGGATTGAATATTAGAAAATATCCGTTTACGCAGAGAATAGTTGATTTATTGAACAATCATCCCTGTAATATTGTGAATTCAAGCGTAGTTAAACAATAGGAACATGAGTTAGATAAACACTGGCAAAACCATGCGCAGACATTCAGTTTAAAAAAAAAAATAGATATTCAAACGTCGCAACCTTTGAAAGATGGTTTTTTTTGTTTTTTGTTTTAATTTTAGAGCTGACTGTCAAAAGATTATAAAATCCTAATTTTGTCAGAATTAAATCTTTACATCAATGCAGCTAGTCATATTTCCTGAAACAACATATAGACAAGGCCAGTAACCATGGGAGAAATTTTCTTATTTGTGTTTGTTTTGGAAACATACATGTAATTTCGGAAAAGACATCTGCACAAAGATATTTTTATAATTCGATTATTGTCCAGCGGAAGTTTGGAGCTATGAGTGGTTTGAAGATTGATATCTTTATTGTGTAAAGCATATAGGAGAAAAGCTGTGCGTATTGCTAGACAACTTAACATTTAAAAGCTAAAAGATATATAACATATGTGTAACTCTATTCAATTAAAAAAACAACCGGGATATATTAAATTCATTTAAATATATATCTATTACAAATACTGATATTGTTTTTTTATCGTTTCGAAATAATATCATTTAAAGATAACTAGAACACGTATAGATATCTCGTATAATAACTAGAAAGTAGAGGAATGTTTAGTTCATTGAAATATTTCTCTAAACAAGAGGCCCAATGGGCCTGTATCGCTCACCTGTTATTAATCTAACACTTGTAATCTTAAGATTTCATAAGAACCTATCAAAAGATTTAAACATATGACGCCTCTGACCTTGATTGTCGAACAAGGACATTAGGTTGAAAGTGGATCAAGGTCATTCATTTGAACTAACATGGTAATCCTTCATCCCAGCATGCTACAGGCCCAATTTCAGTACCCTGGCCCTTTTGCTTATTGAAAAGAAGTCGCTTGAAGATTTTACGACATTTGACCCCTGTGACCTTGAAAGTTGGTCAAGGTCATTCAGTTGAACAAACTTGATAGTCCTTCATCCCAGCATGCTACAGGCCCAATATCAGTACCCTGGGCCTTTTGGTTATTGAGAAGAAGT